ACTCACGCATGCTCCCCGGGTCCCGTCTCAAACCGCATCGTCGCTGCGGGCTGACGTTCCCTGCGGCGTGGCCTCACGCATTTCGACAAGATCGTGTTGTTGCCGTCGTATCCCAGCTCGCGTAGCTCCCGCAGCAACACACGCAATTTTCCAATCGTTCCTCCATCCGCCGGTCAAGATGCTCAGTGCAAGCATCCGACTTCGACCCGCGCCGGGATCGCGGCTTGGGCCGTATTGCCTCCTGCGACCTCAGGTACCGCAGCACAGTATTCCGCGCCAGACCCAGCTCCCGAGCAATCCCCGGGGTCGAATGGCCCGACTCTTTCATCTCGTAAATTTATATCACGTCTCCACCTCTGAGCAATCTTCCCAAGCGCCTCCGCCAAACGTCTGGCGATGATGCCCTCGCTATCGAAGTGGTTCAATTCCAACCCGTAATTTTCGGCTGAGTTCAAACCAGCGAATAACACCTTGTCGTGCAAGATCATCTGGGCGCGGAACACCTTCGCTGTACGTCTGCAAACCCGCTCACGCGGGTTCCGAGCTTCGCAATTCACTCATGAGACAGGCACGATATTCGTCACGAATGTGAACACTTTCAGCAACCGCCCGGCTGGCAATCAACCAATACTTGAGTAGCGAAATCGCCTTACTACCGAGGCAGGCTACATGGACGGCCAGTTGAGCACCCTATGCAGATTTGAGAGATATTCGGTGAAGGCGGCGCGGCCTGCTGGGGTCGCCTCCACCCAGGTTCGCGGCTTTGCGTCCAGGAATTCCTTGGTTTTTACCAGGAAGCCGGCATCCTCCAACTTGCGCAGGTGTATCGTCAGGTTGCCGGCGGTCAGACCGAGGGTTTTCTGGATGAAGCCGTAGGCAAGGCGGCCATCCTCGGGTTGCGAGACCAGCATGGTCATCATTCGCAGCCTGGTGGGCTGGTGGATGGTTTGGTCGAGGACAATATCCTCGCTCGTCATGGCTGGCCGCTTCGGTGGATCCACGCAGCGCCAAGCACGGTCACTGCCAGCATGCCCGCTCCCGTACCCAATGTTGCCAGGTCGCCCCCGAGGTAGCCCGGGATGTAGAATGACGCTGCCATCCCCACTCCAACCAGCGCGAGGGCTGGGCGGTACATTATCCCGAACAGCACATAGCCCAAGCACACAACCCCGATGGCGACATACGGTATGTTCTCTGACTCGCCGGATGACCACAATCCCGCCGCGCCGGGGATCAAACACGCCGCGGTAACCACCGTCATCCAGAATGCAAACACCCTGAGCCCTGCTCTGCGAGCCGTTGCGTGGTCCGCGTTGCTCGAGCCCCCGTGGCGACCGATCAATGCACTGCCAACCATGCCAACAGTGCCGAGGACGAACCACAGCGGTACAGGGTACCAGGGGTAGCTTGCTTCGAAATCCGGCCCCAATTCCGCTACTGTGAACAGGGTGAAAAAGTATACCGACGTGATGGCCCCCCACAGCAGGAGGATGTACGCTGTCCCTGCCGGATAAAGGGAATTCTGGGACTGGGCCAGGGTGGTGTGTATTGTGCGCCAGCTCTCTTCGGGGGTGAGTTCCGTTCTTACGCTGTCAGCTTGTTGCATCGTGTCCCTCCTCGCAGTCGATCCCGCCTGGAAATAGCGGTAAGGCTCGCTCTTGACTGCGGGAACGGACTTTATTACAAACTAGTTTGTCCTGCAAACTAAATAGACAAATGGAATAACTTGGGAAAGGAGCGGAATGAGAAGAATATAAGATTCTCGACCCTGCTACAGTCAGCCCACTTCCGGATGAGCGTTCCAGGTTTCAACCGGCTGGCTGGATGCCTCACCCACGCCGGACGCCTCACCCTACATCTTCCCCAGCGCTGGCCCCGGGAAAACCAGTTCACTCGAGCAGGGGCGAGAGTGCGCGCCCTGCCGCTCCCTTCCTGACCGCGAAGCCGGCAACCGGCCCGCCACTGTCCCCCTCACCTACCGGTCACATCCACTCGTCAGCCGAAGGTCTCTCCAACTCGCGCGACACCATGGGCCAGCGAAAGTTCCTTGCTGCCTCCATGTACTCCATGCGCGGCTCCCTTCACCGACAACAGGCCCCCCACTGGCGCCATCCACCCGAAATCCGACTGGACGATCCCGTCTCCATTCCTGTACTGACCCGTTACAGTGCCCCCACCACTCGGTTCGGTGGATTCGGGCTTGGATGTTTCCGTTTTCGACCCAGAGCCAGGCCGTGGCCATTGTTACCGAGAATACAACAAAACATCAATCGTCCCGGTCCGCGGGTGGTTCGAGTACAACGTATTGGGTAGGTGCTGGACATTGCGCGAACGATGGCGCATACATCGAACCAATAAAGAATTGCGCAAACAAGCCGGGGACAACGGCTGAAAGTTCCCGCGTCAGTCATCCTGCTGGGCTGATTGCATCTTATCTTGGCAATGGCGGACGTTGTGTTGCCTACTCCAGGCGACTGCGCCTGAGGCGGAGATCGTGATTTCGCGGGATTCCTGCTACGGCAGTGTCGTCGCGCCGGCCGCGCACGCGAAGCTTACCGCCACTGCCTCCCGCCGCGATGGCGCATCCTCCAACCTCGAAACGTCCCGGTCAAAAACCCGGGCCGGCGAATTTCCGACTACGTCTTCGAGGCGCGGTTCGACAACCAGCTGATATTCGCCGGTGACCCAGGGAGTGTTCGGCGTGAAGCTCCAGTCGCGCTCACCCGTTGCGGTTTTGGCAACGCCGTCCAGGGTCTTGCCCGCCGCGTTCCGCACCGACAGGCTGTGCTGCAGCAGCCCGTGGTCCAGGGGCCGGTCGAATTCGACCAGCAGCGGGTCTCGAGAGCCGGCGACCGGGGCGGCCAATTGCCAGGCGTGCGGGTCAAGGCGCGACCGCAAAGCCGGGCCGATGCTGTAGCTCCGTTCCGCACCGACTTTGAGTGGCCGACCCGTTGCATCACGAAAGGCCGGGGCGATTGTGATGTTGACCGTCGTGCCCTCAACCAGGGGGTACCCCAACTCCAGGTTGGGAACCAAACCCCGCTTGATGCGTCCAGGGTCCAGCAGCATCGTCAGGCGTCTTCGCTGGGCGTCCCACAGCTCCGGCTCGGGCGGGAGGAAGACTCCCTCCAATGTTTCGCCGGTGTCTCCGCGACTGACTCTTATCGCACGCGCCGCCCAACCCTCGCTCATCGGCGCGGAGAAGTGCACGTATACCCGCAGCAGGTTCACCGGCAACTCAGCGGCCGTGGGATAGATCGCCAGGACCTCCGCGGTGGAAGCGACCGACGGGGATGGCCGCTGGATCTCCCAGACCTCGGCGCCTTCCCCTTGGCCGGCGGCCTCGGCCAGCAGGGAATAGCTCACGCCGTCGGCGAAGGGGAAGCGGGGCACGAAGCAGATGGACCTGCCGTGAATTAGAAAACGGCCGGCGACCGGCGGAACGGACGGTGTGTGGCCGGCTGCAGCCAGGGCTTCGCTGGGATATACGGCCAGACGCCGGGGCATTGTCCCGGCGTCCAACCTGTCCAACTCGCGAAGTTCAATCGCGGTCCAACCGCTGATTTTCAGGCAGTCGCGTCCCTGGTGCTGCGCCCACTCCAGTTGCAGGTGACGGCCGTGGGTCACAGCGTAGCGGTAGCGTAGGTGTGGAGGTGGGAATGGCCGTCCTCGTCCTGCTGGAGCATCAGCACGCCGTTCCCGTTGAGGTTGGCCATGCGCTTGACACCGGGATGCGGCAGCAACTGGCGCGGCACTCCCACCCCGGGCGTGACCGGGTCGGCCGGCGAGGCGTCGAGGGAGTCATCCGGCACGGTGAGCGGGCCCTGCCCGTCGATGTCCTTGCAGGCGACCTTGAACACCGGATGCCGGTCGTTGCAGACCAGCAGATATTCGCCGCCGTCGTGCTGGTAGGAAATCAGGTCCAGCGGGTGATTGTGGGAACCCAACTCGGCCACGGTCTTGCCCATGACGTGCCGGTTCGAGTCGAAGTCGGCCAACGAGAACTGCACCACCGGAGTGCAGGTGTAACTGGCCAGGATGCTGGCGTTGCCCTGATAGGGTACGAAGGCGCGGATGGGCGCGGCCGTTTCGTACTGGCCGTGGGAAACGTGGAATATCTCCAGGGAGTTGGCCGCGGCATCGTCGTTGAAGGGGAAGGGGATCCGCCGCAAGGGTTGAGGTGAACTCCTCGTTGGAGGTTCCGGCCACCAGCAGCAGGCCATCGACGTATGACATGTCGGTGACGGTGACCGTGCGCAGCTTCATGCGGGTGACCAGGCGCGGGTCGTCCTCGCCGGCAGCATCGGTAATGACGAACTGGGAGAAAGCCACGTCCTCCAGCAGCACGTCTCCGATGGAGCCGTCGCCGGACACGCTGATGATCACCGGCACTGCGGCGTCGCCGCTGCCGCGCAGGACGGAACAGTACACGTTGCCCGAGGTCGGGTGTACGGCCAGATCGCGTATGGCCACATCCTCGCGGGAGCAACCCAGGTAGGACGCCAGGGACGCGTCGAAGTTCTCGAGGTTCACGGCCTGCGGGTTACCGCCGCCGTCGGTGTCGCCGACGTCAATGGCGAAAATCGACGCGCCCACGTTGTCGGCGGCGAATAGCACGCCCTCCGGGCCGAAGGCAAGCGGCCCCACCGATTTGATGGACGGCGTACCCACCGCAAGACCCAGATTTCCCAGATTTGTCGCAGTTCCGAGGTCAACCATGACTACCTCCTACGTTTTTCGTATTCTGATTTGCGCCAGTGTAGCATCGAGGCAACGGTGGGGCTACTGTCGGCCTAAAACCGACGCCGATTTGCTATACTGCGGCCGAGTGCTACCGATAGGAACCGACGACAGCGTCAAGGACGATTGCAATGGCTACCGAACGTCGCAGAGGCACCGTTACCATGAGGCAGGTGAGTGGCTCGGCCCGCTCCAGAAAGGTGAGAGTCGAGCTGGGAGAAGAGTCCGCTTTCACCGACCTCCCGGCTACCGTGAAGGTGGGTGATGCTTCGTATTTCCTGGTGCGCGGCCGCGACGGATACAAGCTACTGTCCACTATATGTCCGCATCAGGGCGGCGAGATCGAGGATGAAGGTGACGAGGTGTTTGTCTGCGACGGCCACGGCTGGCAGTACGAGAAGGGCGAGGGAACCTGCGTCAACCAACCGGACTTTCGCATGAAGGCTTTCCTGGTAACGCTGCAGGAGGGCCGGCTGGTGGCGCTGGTGCCTGACGAGTAGGCCGCTTCGGCACACCGCTCGGCTACCGAGATAAATCCGGCCCCGGAGCGCGAAGTTCCGGGGCCGATTGCCGGTGCATTGGCGATCAGATCAGGATCAGCCGACCATGTCGTAGCTGCGCAGGAGTGTGCCTGGCAACGCGCCGGTGCACTCGTTTTCGACGAATGTGACCACGCCGTTGACCAGGATGTAGCGAATTCCGGTGGGCTTCTGCACCAATCGCTTCTCGCCCGCCGGGGAAGTCGGTCTCGAACCGCGGCTTGTCGTACAGCAGTCCCAGTTCGTCCATGTTGTAGATCATGACATCCGCATAATCACCGACGCGAAGGGTGCCGCGCCCCTTCATGTCGGAGAACCAAGCGGGGAGTGCGCTCATCTTTTGGTGAGCCTGCTCCAGGGTCATCAGCTCATTGTCGCGGATCCAGTGCGCCAGGAAGTACACGGGCCACACGCTGTTGACCAGGAACCGGGTGTGTGCGCCGCCGTCCGATACCGAGATGTGGACGTAGGGGTTGGTCAGTCGCTCGGCCCGTGCATCGTCCCCCTGTCCGCCGGCCGGATGGGCGAATTCGGTTTCCAGGTCCTCGTCCAGGGCGATGTCCAGGAAAACGTCCAGCGGGTGCTTGCCCTCGGCCGCGGCGATGTCGGCGATTGACAGCCCCTCGTATTTGAGGTTCCGCTCCAGCGCCACCTCGACCACCTGGAGCTGGGCCCAGTCGGTCCTGGCGTGGGGGCGATCGATGACGTCGCGTTTCATGCCACTGCGAATGCCGTCCTCGGACAGCTTGGCAATTCGCTCCTCCTTGCTGCCAACCAGCGGCTGGACCCAGTTGGGCATGTAGTCGAACAGGTTGTATTCAGAGAGCTTGAACTCGGCAATGGTCGGCACCGAGCCCAGCTGCGCCAGGACGGGGAGCCCCTCCTGCCGGACTTCTTCCAGCCAGTCGTAGCCTTCCTCATCGCCCAGCGCCACGTGCAGGGGACGCCCGCTCATGCGAACCATCTCTGCCAGCATCTCCCGCTGACCGGGTCGGTCGTCCGAGATGCCGATGGTCCAGCCCAGGTGGCCCACGCCGAACTGGCTCAGGACCTGGGACAGGGCGTAGAACTCCTCGGGAGACGCCACATGGCTGGGCAGCCAACTGCCATCCTCGGGCCGGTCTTCCAGGTTCTTGTCGGCGGACAACCCGAATGCCCCTGCCTTCATGGAGTCGTACAAAATCTGCTTCATCTGGTTCAGTTCGGCCTCGGTTACGGATGTCCGTTCCCGCGCCGGTATCATGCCCAGCACGTAGCCCCGCAACGGAGAGAAGGGCACCAGCGCGCCGACGTTCACCCCCAGGCCCTGGCGGTCCAGGCTGTCCATGTATTCGGGGAAGGTCTCCCAGTCCCAGCGCATTCCCAGCCGCATGGACTCCAGCGGTATCGCCTCGATGCGGTTCATCATACGCATGTTCAGGTCGCGGTCCTCAGCCCGGGTTGGCGCAAACCCGAAGCCGCACTGCCCCACGGTCAGGGAGGTCACGCCGAACCATCCTGACAGCGATGCGTAGGGATCCCAGTTCAACTGCGCGTCGTAGTGCGTGTGCAGGTCCACCGCCCCCGGGGCGACGATGCAACCGCTGGCATCAACCTCTTTGGCTCCGGCTGAGTTGATGCGCCCGCTGATCATGGCTACCCGCCCGTCCTTGACGCCGACATCGGCGCGGATACGGGGCAGGCCGGTGCCGTCGACTACGGTTCCACCGCGAATTACCAAATCAAACTCCGGCATAACGTTACCTCCCAGCGGCAATGTGCTTCGAATGCATCCTGCCGTGCGTGACGACATGAGCAAATTGTGGTGGCCGCAGTGTAAATTCATCGTATCTGGATGTCAATTTGATGACGGAAATCGTAATAATTTGCCAAGGACGACGAGAAAACGCAGGACTGGGGTGTCAATGGTCCGCGAAAAGGTCTGCACTAACTGGTCGGCATAAATGTCATATCCCCCTCTATGGAGAATGTGACGTTGAACCAGAAAGAACAAGGCAGACTCAAGGTCCTGAAAGCCTGTTGGCAAAGCAGATGGCCGCGTGATCAACGACAATAAGTCCTGCCGGCCTGTTGCCGCATTCAGAAATGTTGCCGAAACTCTAACACTTGGAATCCGCTCCAAGCAGTGCCAGTTCCGGCAGTTCAGCTGGTTCCGCCGAGCTTGCGTTGGACGAAGCATAAACGAGGTTTTGGCCATGATGCCGCGCTACTCTTTCACCCGGTGTTGCAAGGTTCGCAACTGAGCCGCGGTGAAATGGTCCGGATGTTTCGACTGCAACCGCGCCAGCAGCGTCTTGCCCGTGGCATCCGGTTCGGCCTGTAACCAGACCAGCACGTCGCCGCAAACGCCCTCGAAGGGGTCCCGGCGGGCACCCCAATGCCGCGGACTCCGCACTCACGCTGCGTGTGTGGGACGGGTTTCGCCCTGCCGCCACAGATTGGGCAACTTGGCAAGGAAACGTTCGAGGCTTTCTCCCGCTGGCGTTTCCCGCACGTCCGGAGACATGGTTACCACCAGGCAGACTGGGCTTCACGGGCAGACTGGGCTTCACGGGCAGACTGGGCTTCACGGGCAGACTGTGCTTCACGGGCAGACTGGGCTTCACGGGCAGACTGGGCTTCACGGGCAGACTGGGCTTCACGGGCAGACTGGGCTTCACGGGCAGACTGGGCTTCACGGGCAGACTGGGCTTCACGGGCAGACTGGGCTTCACGGGCAGACTGGGCTTCACGGGCAGACTGGGCTTCACGGGCAGACTGGGCTTCACGGACAGACTGGGCTTCACGGACAGACTGGGCTTCACGGACAGACTGGGCTTCACGGACAGACTGGGCTTCACGGACAGACTGGGCTTCACGGACAGACTGGGCTTCACGGACAGACTGGGCTTCACGGATGGTGTGCAGCAGCAACACCGGGTCCAGCCCAGCCCGATATTCATTCAGCAAGGCTTTCAGATCAGCGCCGGTTGCGTCATGCTGGCTCAGCCGATCACAAGGCGGGGCGGGCTGACTGTAATGCTTGACGGTGGTTGCGCCGTCCCGGGTCTTGTCAATCAGCTTGAATGACGGCTGGAAGCAGTTCACGTACCGACGCAGCTCCCCGTAGGATAGGCCATGTGTCGATTTACAGGGTGATTAGGCCAGCCACCTGTCCCGAATACCGGTCATGGCCGACGAAGCGTCATACCACCGAACCGTTCTTCTGCTCAATCCACGCCTGGTCGTTGCTGCGGTACGCTCTGGAACGGGTGAACTCGATGCTCCGGTCGGTCAGTACTGGATCAGCGTTTCATTGCTGAACACGCTGTCGTTGTCAGAGTCGATACCGAGAATAGGAAAAGGGTAGGTGCTGACCGAAGGCTTCCAACCCTGCCACCACCAGGGATTGCTCTCTGTCCAGCAGGGGAACGGCCCTGAATGTTCATGGTCAGGCCAGCCGGTGCAGATGTCGGTGGCCACCAGGCTATGGATGAATGATCCCGACAGCGGGCCACCACAGTGCGCCACCGAGTCAATCTCCAGATATCCCGGCGGTGGTCGGTTCCAATCATTGTAGGTCCGCACCGGCACGCGTTTACTCATCGACTGCCGTCGCCGCCGTCTGCGCCGGCTGCCCGCCGTGGGACGAATGGGCTGCAGCAGCCGGTCCAACGTGGCCGCGCTGGCCGGCAGCAATCGTGCGCGCACCTCGGGATCCAGATCCAGATGCTCATGACGCTCCATGGATCCCACCAGATAGGGCAGGGCCGCCTTCAGGCGTTTGCCGCAGATGCGGTCGGCGGCCTCCCAGATTACGATTACCGCCTCGGGTACCGCTTCATTATAGATGCGCCGGCCTTTGATCATTGACGGTTTCTCCCCAGCGTCGCCGGACTGTCCCAGCAATCGGATGTCGTGCTTGTGGTGATGGCCGGTTACGGCGATGAACTCATCGAGGGTCCGGCCCTTGTCTTTTTTGGATGACCCGCGGTAGCGGTCACGTATCGTCACCAATAATTCTGTTTTGCCATCCTGCTGATGCCTTGTATTGAGGCAATGCGCCGGCATTTTTAGTTGACGCGGGACACTAA